CTGTTTCTCTGGCCAAATCCTTACTGATATTATGTATTTTATTGCTTTGCAGTTTGTATTATAGTATCTATCTGCAAAACATTGTGGAATGATCTACAGCATAAACTCTCAGCAAATATTCCTTGTATATCTTATTTGTCAGCCTAAATAAGACACAGGCTAATGGCTTTTCTCTCTATCTCTAATATATATTTATTTATTTTGTAGAGACAGAGTTTCACTTTATTGCCCATGGTAGAGTGCCATGGTGTCACACAGTTCACAGCAACCTCCAACTCCTGGGCTTAGGTGATTCTCTTGCCTCAGTCTCCCAAGTAGCTGGGACTATAGGTGCCTGCTACAACGCCCAGCTATTTTTCTGTTGCAGTTTGGCTGGGGCCGGGTTTGAACTCGCCACCCTTGATATATAGGGCCTGCGCCCTGCCCACTGAGCCACAGGCACTGCCCTCTACATCTAATATTTTTTATCTTCAGTGCTTCTCCTCTGTCCTCCTTGGTCCCATCTCCTCCAGTCTCCTGTATATCATTCTCTCTCTCCAAATTCTCCTTTGGATTAAAAGAAAACGGAACAACAACAAAAAACAATCAGCAACTTCATTTGACACTTGAATCCCTATGATTCTCCACATTATTTCATTTTCTCCATTTGCTCCCTTCTTAACCCTCTGGTATCTGGTTTCTTTATCTACTATTGAAACTGACCTCTCTAACTTTCAAGGTTCAAAATCCTCTGTGTGACCCAATCCAACTATACAAGGCCTACTGGTTGCCTCACAGACTCCACTTTCCCCTGCTTCCTTTGCAAAAGAAGTAATAGAATCCTAGGTAAGTTATCCAGACAAAAATGTACATTTCCCAGCATTCTTTGCCCCTAGGAGTGGTCTGTTACTTAACTGTGGCCAATTGGAGGTAGCTAAACTGCAGAGTAGCACATCTAGAATATTCTTTCTTTTAAGGATGGAGCATGCCCTTCTGTTCCTGTCCTTTCTTTTTCTTCCCAAATACAGGTGTAATGTCCGGAGCACTTGCTACCATCTTGGATCAGGAGATGACCTTGAAGATGTAACCTAAGTAGGATAGTGCAGAAAGATATAAAGACCTCAATTTTATCCTTAGCAGTACCAGGGAGTTGCTAAACCAGTATCAGACTGTTTTCCTCCAGACTTCTGACTTCTTTACACAAGAGAATAAACACTTGAATGTTTAAGTCATTGTTGCAGAGTCTCTCTTACTAGTAGCTAAATGCAATCCCTAGTCAATACACCAATGGTCTCAGATTGTTCCTTAATCATTTATTACATAAATATTTGTTAAGCACTCATTTTGTGCTGGGTACTACTGTAGATACTATGGGAATAATACAAAGTCTGCTGGTTTGAAAGCCTGTTTGGACATTAAAGTAAAAAAGTCAGAAGGCAATTGGGCTAAACAAAAAAATTCTATAGCTTAAAGAAAAATTTGGGGAGGTGTAGTTTTGGTACATATCCCCTGGTAGCTAATATTTAAATCTTTAATAAGATCATCTTGGGAAAAAAGGTAGAAAGAGAGAAAAGTCTAGAACAGCCCTGGAACCCTTCAACATCTGGAGGTCTGACAAAAGCAGAAGGGGGCAGAGAGGTCAGAGGTCAAAGGAAAACCAAAGGAGCTTGCTGCCTTTGATGCCCAGATAAGGGAATGCTCCAGGACAGACATGAATAGTCAGATGCCTACTGAGTAGAGTCAGACACAAACAGAAAGGAGAGTAACTGCGACAGTAATAAAGCTTAGGTTTCATGGCCCCCTATGAGCACAGCCTTTTTCCAAGGCCATGTGCCTAATTCTTTAACTGCAGTTTTGTATTTTTGCTTAAAGACAGTTCTCCAAACTTTATAAACTTAAGCCCTATAAAATTTAGATGTGCTCCTTGCCTCCGTGGCATCCTGGCCATATTCACTGCATTGACATTACTTCTTTCTTGGCTTCTTGTGACGCTTAGGTCTCTTCCACTGTTCTATCCTCTTTTCCAGCCATCCACCTCCATATATGGGCAAAGAATTATTCCCCATTGAAATAAAAACTCATCTTTTTATAAACTAATGAGGAAAAGATGAAATAGATAAAAGGGAAAGAAATATATGAGATTGGACAGTTAAGATTGTGAACTCATCCTAGAAAAAGTGCCACACATTGCTGCATATCACTACAGTCACCTTCCAAGTGCTCCCTTGAAGCAATTTTTTTAGGATGAGTTCCTGAACTTAATTGTCAGACCTTATACAACAACAGCTCTGAGACCATTCCAAAAAGAGTTCCAAAATTGCTTTGAAGGGTGGACTAGGCACTGGCACAGTGCACGGTTTCCCAAGGGGAGCACCTCAAAGGTGACTATAGAGATGTTAGACAATGAGGTATGTAGTACTTTTTCTAGGATGAGTTCATAAACTTAATCATTACTCTTAGTAATGTTAGTTCTTCTTTTCCAAGAGTTTACAATCCAGTGGGAGAAACAGAAAAATGACAGGATGATGCTCTGATGCAAGGAAAGGCAGAGCACAGGGGTGGGAGCACAGAGGATGGTAAGGCTCATGTTGGGGATATCCTTCAGTTTGTCTAGAACTTCTCTGCCACCGGTGACCTCCATCCATGCACACTCACAGCAGGTTAAATGAAGCTGAGGCACCTTCACAGGGCAGGACTGCTGAGAATAGCTTTCATAATTTTTCACTGTACACATGCTGGAACCCTGGTTTATACCACAATAAAACCAGCTGTTCCAATTAGCAATTCTCACATGAACGTCAAGACTGTTCTCCTCCTTCAGGACATCATCAAGCAAATATGTTGATGTGCTAAGCTGGGGGGGTGAGAGATGAGACTACTTATGGAAGAAATGGTACTTCAAGGAAAATGGCACACTCTCTGAGAATGTCTTGCAGTTTGGCCAGAAGTTTTCATACCAACCCTTCATGCTGGCCGAGTCTCTGATGTCTGAGGAGTTCAGAGCACAGTGCAGGTGATTCCTTCCTGGTAGTCACAGTGACTCTTCAATGCAGATGCACAGCCAGAGATGCAGAGGGGGGAGAAAACCAATAGGGAGAAATGTATGCTGGGCTTCCCTTGCTCTTTTCCAGGGCCTTCTCCTTGCTTTCCATGTTGGCTCATCACTCCCTGATCTGACCCCGGAAACCCATGAACTTAATCATCTGACCTCATACATTTGACTCAGTCAGTGTCATTCATGGTATGCTCTTTCAGAAGAGACCCTGTCCTATTTATTGCTGAGTAGCAGATTGCCCCATCTTTATTGGCTTAAGATAGTGGCTTTTATTCTCTCACAGCTTCTATAGGACAGCAACCAGGATGGGTTCAGGCAGGTGTCAGCTCAGGGCCATCTACAGGCTACAGTCAAGGCCAGGACTGGAGTGGTAGTTGGCTGAGGCTGAAATGGGGGGGAAAGCCACTTCCTCACTGCCTCATGGGTGGTGCAGGATTCAGCTCCTCTCAAGTTGTTGGACTGAAGGTCTCAATTTCTTGCTGGCTGTTGGCAGGGGTGTCTCTTCACATGGCCTTTTACACAGGGCCGCTTACAACATGATAGGTGGCCTCCTCAATGAGAACCAGAGGGAGGGTAAGAGGAAGTGCCAGCAGGATGAAAGTTGGCCTTTGCTAACCTAAAAGGATGTCCTCATAAAGGATTTTTGTCATGTCTGACATTCTACTGACAGAGCAGGCCATGAGGTCCAGCCCACCCCACAGGAAAAGCATTGCTCAAGGGTTGTATTAGGAGGCTGGATGGCTAGAATCCAGCAGCCTGTGCAGCTGAAACAGCCCCATCAGCGTCCAAAGAGGTGGTGCCACTGGGCTGCTCCCAATGGTTCATCCGCCCCCCCATCACTCTGCATGATGACCTTGGGCTCCTTACTCACTGCATGTAACATCTGAGATAGTCACTGATTTTCAGTGTATGTTCTGAGATACTTTTAGAGAGCTTACCCTCCTCCCCTCTCACTTCTAAATAATTGCTTTATTATAATAACATACTGTGTAAACTTTAAAAACTTACTTTCTCATGGCAGTTATTGTAAAGTTAGTGGTCCCGTTTCATTTCTCTTTGTGGTCAAAGCTTCACCGAAATACTCCTCTTCATTAAAGTAGGAGACGCCTTTATCACAGTCTGAGGTCACTCGTGTAAGTACAGGAACTCAAGTTTCCCACCTCGTCTACAGAGTTTTCATCATGCTATAAGGAAAAGATAAACAAGCACGTTTTTGAACTTACTTTAATAATCAGCACAGGAACTTACAATTAATCATAGTAATACATTAAATCATTATCACTACATAGCCAAGATGCACTTACATATGGGCTGGCTCTGCACCAGCTGTCATTATACTACAAACTGTTTTAACACAAGCGGACCTTGGTCCTTCCTGCAGTTCCACCCCACACCGAAGGAGGCAGAAGCAGTCCTTCCTCGCTCGAGGTTTTCAACGGTGCTTCTCTCTCTGCCAGAACCAACCAAGTCAGTAGGAAAGGGGGAGAAATGGCCATAGAGAGACCAGGCTTGCCTCTTTAAAGCAGTGCTCCCCCCTGTGATTACTTACTTTAAAGCACATCGTATGCCCGCAAACGTCAACGGCTCGTCCGCCACCGGAAAAGTCCCGGGGTCCTGCTCTCGCGAGGCCCCGCGGTGTCTCCGCTTCCCGCCCAGGCCCGGAGAGGCCGGACCCGGAAGCCGCAGCGGCCGCCGAGCAGCTGCGCTCTCCCGTGGTGGTGGAGCTTCGCACGGCCCCGAGTTTGGGCCTGCCGCGCCCTCCTCCCTTGGGCCGCACGGGCCGATGAGTCCCTCTAGCCACGGGAGGGACCAGGCCCGGGGGCGGGCAGCCGGAGTGGGGCCGCGGCGCTCCGGGGGCCTCCGTGGCGGCCTCGCCGTGTTCGCCGCCGTGGCCGCGGTGTTCACCCTCACTCTGCCCCCGTCGGTGCCCGGGGGAGACGCGGGTAAAGTACTCTCCTGGCGGCCCTCCCGCCCTCTCCATGCCCCTCGGCACCCGGGGAGGCGAGCGCGGACCCCGTGCACCGCCCGGGCCGGCGCGGGGCTGTGTGCCGGCGCCCACCCCGCTTTCTCTAGTCTCAGGCATTCAAGACGGGCCGTGGTGCAGGTTTCGCCTGGCGGGGCTCATCTACCTCTCCACTTCCCCGGACCCTGTTCTCTTGTCCTCGGTGCCTTCCATTGTTTTAGTGCACAGATGCGACTTGTGGAGTCCTTACTGTGTTTCGGACAAAAGGAATGACAGTAGTGGTGAGCGAACGCTGAGGGTGTCGTAGCACGATTGGAGATGCTGCCCGTCACTGAATGAACACACGCTAACCCGAGACCGGGGCGGGGGTGTCACTGGGCATGGGTCCAGTGGTGGCGGGTCCCTCCGAAAGGCTAGCCAGGAAAGACCCCTGAGAAGGTGCTGATTTTAGTTGAAACCTAAATAGTGAGAAGGAATCAGCCATGCAGAATCGAGAACTTCTTTTAAAGCGGAAACCAGATTCCGGATGCTTGCTTTTGTTATAAAGAAAAGCGTGACTCGGTTGGCGCCTGTGGCTCAAAAGGGTAGGGCGCCGGCTCCATATGCTGGAGGTGGCGGGTTCAAACCCAGCCCCAGCCAAA